TGCTGGGGAAAATGAATAAAAAATGGGGAAAATGTTGTGCTAATTTTTAATATTTTTGTGAAATATCTCTACACATAGATGGCTCTGCTAGTGCTTAGCCTTACCTGATTTCACCTTTCCTTGAACTGACGGGAAAATATATTTTTTACTAGTGCTATGAATATCAATGGTGTTATTTTTATTATAAACATTATAATTACTTTAATGTTATAAACATTAGTAATAGCAAATATGATAACGTAAAATATCTTTGTGAATAAAGGAAAAGGTAAACGGGCGAGACAAGCAGCACTCATAATTGGCTTATTGATGACTTAGTACAAGTGTAGTCATTTATGTGTAAAAACAAATAAACAAGTAAACTCACAGTGGGCATGACATGGACGTACGTGACATGCCTGTCGTGAATGGGTTAACCCAATGCCGTTGGTGGAAATTAATAAAAAAGGGAGAAAATGCTGTGCTATAGCCATAGCCACAAAGGAGGCAGTTAGTAGACCTTGTGACCTTATTTGAACTGCCGGGAAAATTGTTTTTTTACTAGTGCTATGAATACGGAAGGTGTTATTTTTATTATAAACATTATAGTTACTATAATGTTATGAACATTGGTAACAGCAAAATAAGATAGTGTAAGATATTTTCATAAATCAAGGAAGAGGGTGAATGGGCGAGACAGACAGTACTTGTAACTAGCTCATTGGTGACTTAGTACACATGTAGCCATCTATGTGTAAAAACAATCAAACGATTAACTCACAGTGCGCATAGCACGTACATACACGTCATGCCCATTGGCATTGGGTGAATTCAAGCCTCTTAAGTACCCATAGATTATCATATTATTCCAGGAATTATTTTTTTTGTATAATGACCAAGGGATTCATTTGTCTGTGTGGCCTCACAGGCTGATTTTTCAGTTATGATCTAGTTACAAAAATGAAAGATCAGAATTATTATAGAATAATACTTTTTAAAAGTTTTTTGAAATGTTTTTTAGAATTTTTGCATTGTGCCAAAGAATTAGATGTTAGGGCTTTACCTATAATTGACATTTTATTTTTCCATAGAATGAGACCAGACACAGAATAAAATACCTGAACTATAGTGCATTCCATCTAGGAGGTTCTGCCTGTGGTGTAATTATATTGATGGAGGCCTGCATAGCAATTTACAACTGACATCAATATTTGACTCATAATTTAAGTAATATTATTTATTTCTCAAGATAAGTTTCCACAAATTCATGATTACATTTCTCATAAACCATTGATCCTGGGATATGTGATCGGAGAGCTTAATGTTGTGAAAAGATTGGCTGAAGTCTGGATGACGGGAATATTCTGTCATTGAAAATTTTAGCTAAGGGTCGGGGTGATGGGAATATGCCTTCATATTTATTTATTTATTTATTTATTTTATATATTTTATATATTTTCTTATTTTTTAATTTTTTTATTGGCAGAGGGCACAGGTTACAGGAATAATTCCTGATAAGTGCACAAAGTTCTTGAAGGTAGATCAAATTTAGTGGCTACTTAGGAAGGGGCTCATGCATTATATCCACCAGTAAATGAGGGTGGTGTGTATCATCTGAGGACATAGCTCTTGCGTGGACAGTATTTCCATGCTTAGGTTCTTACAGAAAATTAAATAATAGAAAGATTTAAGAAAAATAAGTAAATAACACAGTTATTGTACTTGGTGTGATGATGTTGAATGACACATAAAGACCTTGGAAAATCACACATACAAGGAAAAAAAATCTCAGAGAGAGAGACGGGGACAGAGATGGAGAGAGAGAGAGAAAATTAACATTGCAGAGGGAGGCAAGGAGTCTTGATACCACACATGAGTGTTCATGTGGGCTAGGCCAACAAGCCACATACCTAGGAGAGTTGCCACTCAAGAAAGCCTGATGCCTGATTTTTGGTCCAGGTGTGGCTCTGAAGCACCTGAAGCCATGTTATACTGTAATTAGATTTTATAATTCTTTTAAAATGTATAGCAAGTTGCATTATGATTGACTGGCTGAGTAATAGTACATTCCTCTTATGAAATTTACATTTTTATCAGTTCATAACAGTTTCTCATGCACCATTAATTACTCTAATAATAGAACATGGGATTAGAAAGTTTGCTTTTAATCAGCTTTTGTGGAAATGGTTATTGGAAGTACCACAGAGACTCCCCTTACTTGTCACATCTTTTGTTGCTTAATGATCATGCTCAGAAGGTGGGAAGTAAATGAAACTAATGTTTAGTAAATTTTTATCTCAAAGGTTTTATTAGTGTGTTCCAATAATAAAAGGGCATGAAAATAAAAACACTAAATCATCTCTCGAGAAAAAATAAGTGGTCTCATGCAAAATTGGATGTATCTAACTGTTTATAATGAACAATTTGATTTTCTTTTGAAAAGAATCATTTAACCAGTTGGATCTGTATGCTTCACTGCCATCAAGTGGCCTAAAATACAGGCATTAGGCTTACTTGAGCAGGTGTGCAGCTTAGGCTTGGTGCACCTGGACTCATGTGTAGTTACAACACTCTGTGCCTCCCCTTTGTCCTGTTATTTTTTCATTTTCTGCATAAGCGCTTTTATCTTCTTTACCATTTTCCAGCGTCTATATTTGTCATTTCATTTGCTTTGTCCAGATGGTAAAAGACTGTTGTCCTTGCACAGACTCCATATCATCTCTCTAGGTAGTCCATAACTCAGTGCAAGAAGAATAACAAGAAGTAACATTTTGTTATTTGTGTCATTTTTATTTATTTATTTATTATTTTAAGATTAAAGGATGGATGTCCTATATACAGTCAGGTCTGTGGGAGGACACTGAAAAATTGTTTCTCTTTTGTAATATTTATGTCTCATCTTGCAGACTTTGATCTCAAAACTCCTAAAACACAACTGAATTTTATTTGTGCAAATTTAATAATAACAGGTAGAAGTGATTGTCTAGTGCACTGATGTGCCACATTTCCCATTGGCTAGCATATGACATGGGACTGTGAAGGACAGGGGAGAGGGTTAGGTGGAGATGAGCTAAGTAGGTTGACCCCAGGCCCAGATGAAAGCAGTTATATTTGGAACGTGGGGCTAATCGTCGCATGATGTTAACCCCTTCAATCCGGGTGACCTGACCATCACGTTATGAAAAAATCTGGCTTGAGGGGCGGACGACTTGAATATGCTGTCACAGAAAAATCTAGCTGCAGGCCAGGTGATGCGAAGCTGCTGTCACAAATATTTCAGCTGCAGGCCAGGGTGATGGGAAAGGCTGGTGATGAGTGGTTGATTAGACTCATTTGGCGATTTTGCATTAACCCCATTGATATATGAGTGTGGAATATAATGTCTGTGAGCCATTATTAGAAGAGCAGCGGCATCATGGAGGATGCCATTTCCATGCTCAACATTATGTTCCTGGCACTGTGACCGGCAACACAGGTTGTATAACAGAAAATTTAATATCACAAAAATATTGAAAATTGGAAGATGAAAAAAAAGGCTAAAAATGCTTATGCGTAAAATGAGGAAATAACATTGCAACTAGGAGGCATAGAGTCTTGTCATCCTGCACACTTGTTCACATGCGCCTGGCCTACAAGCTGTGCATCCGGCAGAGCGGCCGGGGTTTTGGTCATGTGATTGCTGTAATGCAACTCATTGTAAGGGGTTAATTTTGCTTCTGTTGTCACTCTATTTTATTCAGTATTCATAATCAGGTCAGAATGGGTCTCTGTAGTCCTGAATATATAAATGGTTTTAATATCAAGGCTTTAGTTTAGTTATATTACGTATGAAAGTTATTGATATGATGGATAGTATTGAAGGAAATGTTTGCTCTGGTATTTCATTTACAATATTCACAGACTATCTACCCTGTACATTGTGTGCTGTATCTCTTTAACAATATTTTTCTTGCCCTTAAACCCAGTTGAGTGCATCAGAATTAATTAATTAATACTCAGACAATGCATTTGATATTCCTGGCAAAAAGATGTTAAATGGCTAAAATGAAATGATCTCTCAAAATTAAATATGAGATATTGATACATATTTCCCATTGAAAAGTGGATGGAAAACTGCAACAATTATGAATTATGTTACTCTTTCTAGGATTATTTCAGTTTAGATCAAGGGAAAAAAACAATTGTTTATGACTTCATGCTTAATGATAATGAATAAATTTTCTGTTACATGTAAAGACTATGTTTTCTGTAATATATGCTTGAATATTAAAATGTAAAATGCACTGAAATACTCGCTACAAGGAATTATGTTAAAAAGTGAAAACTAAACAGTTAACAGGTGTACATGTAGCAAAAGAATATGGAAATTGATGTAAAAATGGAAAATGTAATACTGGAAGGAGAAGTGAGAAAAAGAAAGAAAAAAAGACAGCACCTGTAAAAGTCTCTGGCTTAATGCATTTATTAGAGTCCAGTTATAGCAGCAGAATTAAAAAAAAATTATTTGAAATTGAAAAATGTGCATCTTTTGAGTTTTTTTAAAACTTAAACCCTAGGATCTGTGTGATGAGAATATTAACCTGACTGCGATCTAGATGCAGCAAATCACATGATGAATATAGATTTGGGGGGAGGGGGGGGGAATAGATAAGTGAATAAGTTAAAATGCAAAGTGGAGGCAAAGAGTGTGTGTGTGGGCTGGGCCTAAGAGCTACATGTGTGGAAGAATTGCCAGTAAAGTGAGCCTAATGCCTGGTTTTTGGACCACGTGCTCGCAGTGAGGCACCTGGGTGTGGTGTGTGAGTGTGTGTGTGTGTGTGTGGGGGGGGGGAGTTGTGCCCCAGCCAAAAAAAAAAAAAAAAAAAAAAAAAAAATCTAGTCAATGCGGCACTTCCACAGTCCGACATCATTAATCTGATTTGAATATTTTTTTTGTGTCTGAAAGAGCACTTCAGTGCCTTCGGACAGTCTTACCATGACTGAATTTCATTATAATGTTAGTATATAATGTATTAAAAGAAGGAAAAAGGAGAAAAATTATTCATGAATTTGGAAATTCATAAATAGTCATAGACACAAAAATAAAACACATGTGTATACCCAGACTTGCATACATGCACTCATTCATACATACATATTTCCATACATACTCACATATACATTCATACATGTGGACTGACATACAGATATGCATACACATAGATATGCATACAACTGTAAGGAACCACTACTATAGTTAAAAAAAATGGCTGCTCTAGTTTACAGTTGGTTTTCAGTTTCATGGTTGTTATCCCAAGAAGGGAATGGAATTGGGACAATGTTTGTAGGGGAGATTTACTTGGTGGGTGCGAATGTGGAACTACCCGTAACTCAGTTACAATCAATGTAGCGTTAAATATTATGTTTGATTAAATGAGAGTTGTGTTGGAAGTGTAACCAGGCATTGAATTGAGTGTGATTAATTTCATTATAATGTGTATTTTACTGACTTTTAAGACTTCTCAAACATGCGTACATAGAAACACAAAGTGTACATCTTATGACATACATTTTAGAATGATAGAAATCCATGAGATATGTAAATATGAGTACATGCAAATGAAAACTTATGTAATGGGGGTTCAGTATATGCAAGAAAATAATAGTAAGATGTATTACCTCATTGAATAATGGAATGGTTAGTACTAGAATCTATGAGGTTAGATTTTTAGATTGATGTGATTTAGGAACATTGATTTATAAGAGTATTTGTCTTTATCAACAAAGAAAAGAAACTTTTCATAGTTAGCTGTGAGTTAAGTAGTATTTGATGACCAGTAAACATAATGAAGGGATTTTATACTTAGGCACACAGCCATATACAAGAATTTTGTTCCCTTGGGAATCTTTAGTGTGTTCTTGTTCTATTTTTTTTCTCTTTTGATAATAGTAACTGTACATATAATAGTTCACTGAATGAAATTGGTGTATATATATTTTAACCCAGTGCTGACGGGCATGGCATGTACGTACATGCCATGCTCACTGTGAGTTTACTTGTTTAATTGTTTTTACACATAGATGGCTACACTTGTACTAAATCACCAATGAGCCAATTACAAGTACTGCCTGTCTCACCCGTTTACCCTTTTCCTTTATTTACGAAATATTTTACGTTATATTATTTTGCTGTTACTAATGTTCATTGACATTATAGTAATTATGATATTTATAATAAAAATAACACCATAAATACTCATAGCATTAATAAAAAATACATTTTCCCGCCAATTCAAGGAAAGGTGAAATCAGGCAAGGTCACAAGGTCTACTAATTGACTCCTTTGTGGCTAAGCACTAGCAGAGCTATCTATGTGTAGAGACATTTCACAAAAATATAAAAAATGAGCAGAGTATTTTCACCATTTTTTACTCATTTTCCACGGCGGCATATAAATAAATATAAATAAAGTGACAAGGTGCAATGCACATTGCAAAGAATGAAAGATTGTACTGTAAGTTCTTTGCTTATACTTCAGAATAAGGAAATGTAGTTTGAAAATTTAAAAGTATGTCTTGACTTCTATTTTCTTTGAAGTAAATTTGTTAATGGTCAAATTTTGGAGGACAAACAGAAATAAATTATCATTAGATGATTGGCAGACAGCCAGTTAATTTTAGTGATAGTCCCTTCTCTTCTTGAGTGGTAACTCCTAACTAAGGTTTATGTCTATATTTTACAGGAAATATTCGAAATATAAGTCCAGCTGTATGGTCACTGCAGCACCTGACATCTCTGTACCTGAATGACAACTGTCTGTCTCGCATTCCTGCTGAAATTGCCCGACTCGAACACCTAATGTATCTTGATTTGTCATGTAACAAAATCCGCAGCCTCCCAGCTGAAATTGGCGAATTAACGCGTCTCAGGTAAGTGTTCTAACTGTTGTTTCGTAGTGTTGATTTGACTTGACTTAACAACTACAACTTACAACTGGCTTATTTGCTGTTATGATAAAGAAGAGAGAGACATATTCATTGAGTCAATGTAATAGTTTATTTATTTGAAAATATTGATACTATTAGGTTTAAAGAATTGTTAGTAATAGATGAAAAGTTAGATGGGGGAATGAGAGCATTGTTTGTAAAGAGAAATAGGGTTCCTATTCAGTTAGTGTAAACATTATTAGAATCAGCAATTGTAGTATTTAGTAAAGCTCTCCAAGATACTATTAGGATATCAGCAGTAATGAGAGGGATTGAGGTGAAAAATATCATACCTTGATAAACTGCTATTGTTTTTTAGCTTCTGTAATTGTTTATGAAAATGTATACTATAGACTGATTGATCATACTTGTACAAACACTTCAACATTGATTTTATTCCCCCTTTTGAATATTTGATACATGATCTTTGGCCAAGATATGTTAAAGCTTTCTTTATGATTGCTTCATGTTGATTATTGATTGTTTCATGGAGGTGGCATATTAACAGAAGAAAATCCTTTGTAACTCAAAGAAAGTGGAACCTCGTTTTGTACTACTGCTGCTTCCGCTGTATTACAAGTGAAACTTTTTTTTTTTTTTTTTTTTTTTTTTTTTTTTTTTTTTTTTTTTTTTTTTTTGAAATACACAACCTAATTACAGGAAATAATTACAGTGTGAAGGAAGCCTAATATGACAGAAACATATAACCAGTTTTGAATGCCTTAAAATGCAGCCTACAAATAGGCATGTTTTTGATACACCCATTCCTTAACAAAACATTGTTTGCTTTGAAAAAGTAAGTGATAATGACAAGGAAAGACTGAAAATGATGTATCTGTTTATCTCTTATTGATATTATTTAACTTGGGATGAATATGGATGGTAGTGACTAGTGGATGTATGAAGAGGGGGAGGGAGGCATTGCCTGCACTCACATAATATTGTGGGAGCTGCATGTGTTGAGTACAGAGCTAAATATTTAAAACTCAGATATTATATTACTGTCTTTACAATGCTGTTGTCCAGAGCATCAGTAAACATGTCTGTGAAGCAGCAGTTATTGACTGTAAATTTATTTTTTGTTTTCTGATCATTATTATTTTAAAATGCCTTTATTGTACAGCTGTTAAAGAAGAGAGATACAGAAAATATTCTGCTCATGTAACACATACAAGGATAGTGTAAAAGTAATAATAATACTATAAGTTATTTACATATAAGGTTGTGAGCTATCTCTGAATATAAAGCAGTTTGTTTTTGTAATTGGTTCTTGTCTTGTATTTGAGTGACTCCTATTGTAAAAATGCTGTAAAGCACACATTCCCTTCAGTTGGTTTGTGAAATAATTGGTTTCCGTTGAGCTTGCATTATCAAGATCAAAAGTATTCCATGCATGTATCAGTATTATTTCATGCATAAGGAGACCTAGATTAGGCATTGAATTTATGACATCTAATAAGAAAAAGATGTAGTAGATGAAAACTTTTTTTTTCAGATAGTTGTGTTTACATTGGAAGATTTTACTGATATGCATTTGAATGTATTGACTTTTATTTTATACCTGTAGTGAAAATGTTTATCTATATAAGGGTGTGGATTAATGTTATGATTACTTCTGATATTCAACTTATTAGTGAAGGTATGCTTCCATTCTTGCCATAGCGGACAGAGCCCACATGCAGAGTGACATGGATACACAACAGCTGCGGTCGGCCAGCTTCAAGTTGTGCGTCCTGAAAAAGTTGTCTATGTTTTTAGCTCTTGTTGAATCTTTTCAGTAGCTACAACCTCTCAAAAATATTGTTATAACCATGTTTTAGTTACTGGAAAGTCTTCTATGCCGAAGCCAAATGCACATTTAGTTTGGTGGATGTATAATCTGTACACTTCTGATTTTTCACTGGACAAGTATAAGTAACCCGAAGTGTAGCTAGGTTTGGTGTGGGAAAAACTCGTCTATCTTAGGATGAAAGAAGGAAATTGCATGGACAATAGGATTATTATGAGTTATAAAATGTTTGTCTATATATTAGATGGTTATACCTTTTCCTTACAAGTGCTGGGATAGCACTGTAAACTGTTTGACTGAGTATTTCCTCCTCCTTAATAACCAAAGACTATAGAGAGGAAGATGGGAAAGCAAGAAAAAGTGGTATTTGGTTTGCTTTGCCATCAGTTCTTAGATGGCACTAGTGAGGCTTTCTGACGTCTTCTGCTTGCTTGTGTCAACTATTTTCTTTTATTCCTTTGTTATTTTGAGTGTATACAGTATACATTACTTTGATGTTGCAATTGTAAATATTTTAAAAATATATAAATAATATGAATCCTAGGAAATGACAATGATTAACACTGAAATAGTCATTTCCGGGTTGTTTACCTCTTATATAAGTGATAGATGACAGCATCATTAACCCATTGCCGCCGGGGAAAATGAACAAAAAATGGGGGAAATGCAGTACTCATTTTTTATATTTTTGTGAAATATCTCTGTCCATAGATGGCTCTGCTAGTCGAGATTTCACCTTTCTTTGAATTGGCGGGTAAAAACGTATTCTTACTAGTGCTATAAATGTAGATGGTGTTATTTTTAACAGCAAATTAGGATAACGTTAAATATTTTCGTTAATCGATGAAAAGGGTGAACGGGCGACACAGGCAGTACTCGTAATTGGCCCATTGGATACTTAGTACAAGTGTAGCCATCTATGTGTAAAAACAATCAAACAAGTAGACTCACATTGGGCATGGCATGTACATACATGCCATCCCCGGTGGCAATGGGTTAATGGCCCATTTATTTGAAAGGGATGTATATGTGCTTTCCTATCTACCTCGCTATAGTCTTTGCTCAGCAACCCTTTCTGTAATGAAATGGCATTAAAATTTTAGAATCTTGTGACTAAGAGAAAAATGCTCATGCTTTGTATTTGAACTAGGCAAGATGTTTTGTTCTGTATGTGATTAGAAACTGTTTCACTAGGAGCTTTGAAATCTTAATGTTCTGTATATAGGAAAAGAAGTAAATGTGGTTGTCTATTTTTGATATATTTTTTACTAAAAACATGAGCTTTGAAATTTTAGTTACAGTGTTGTATGACAGATATTAGGGAAAAATAGAAAAGGGTTGCAATAAATTTTTTGTGAATTTGATGCATGAAGGTCTTCTGTGCAATAGGAACAGATATTGCAAATGTCAGAAATTACCTTTTATATTCATGATCTCATTTCAAGCCTAGATTGCTGCTTTTACAAATATTAATGGCATTATGGCACGTAATGCAATCAGCTTGCTACTAAAATAAGGATGAATTTGCCAACCATAGTGAGTAGGAAATATTAAGAAGCATTTTTGTATCCTTTATATTTTACACCTTGTGATGTAAGGGGGTAGCAAGTTAGAGAGGTTAGTTTGTTATGTTAGATGTGAACAACCCTAAAAAAGTGAGTACAAGGAGATGTTTTTTACCCCCGACCTCTCTGACATGTACCACTACTTGTAGGGTAAGTGTCTGTTATTATAATAGTCAGAGGGAGGGTGATTTGTCTTTGCTAAGAAAATTGATTTGAACTCTAATCAGTCCGGTCTAATAAATGAATGGAATTTTGATAGGTTAATTGTAATGTTAAGGGATCATGTAGATTGGAAAGAGGAAAAGATTCTTCAATTGAACAAGCATTTTGGTTGCCTAAGGAGTGAAAGATTAAGATTACTTTTTAGAGATGCATATGTTTATGTTGATGGTATACTTGACTTGACAAAGTGTAAGCAGTCAGCCAGCAGACTTATTGTAAAGTTACCATTAGCCAAAGAGTTTAACCCCTTACTGACGGGTGAAGAAAATGATAAGAAACTCTACACTCTGGAGATTAATGGCAATGAACCGACTTTGAGTGTGGGAGCTCACTACATCAAGCTGAACCCCAGGCTTGTTGCGTTTTGGCGTGTCTCCGCGGTGTACCGCCGCACTCCACGGATCGAGTGGTTTGTTATGATACCTGTCGGTATGGGGTTAATGAGGACATTGCTATGGACTTTAGAAAATGGGGAAAAAGGAGAAAAATTTGAATTTACTTATGGTTGATGTTCTGACAGGATTTAGCAAAGCAGCTATTTTAGAGAAAAAAGAAGAAAAGATAATTGATAAATCTTTCAAGATTTTGATAGGTATCTTGACAAACTCTTGATAGATATTAGGGAGAAATCCAGTTTTTATGGACACGTGTGAGAATCTAGATATTAAGTTTACAGCCAGTATGATTTTGTGTTTACAAGAAACTCCAATTTACCTAGTATTAGTATTCTTCCCCATGCTTCTAATCTTTTGCTTGAGTGATTGATTATCTGCAAACTCTGTTGGATGATTTGGTTTGGTGCGGGAAAAACCTGCCAGAGTTTAGGTTAAAAGTGTAGTTTTGATTGCATATTTAGATATTTAGAAGTGGTGACAGCGTTTATTACAAGAGAGAAGAATAGTTTCGATAGTAGTTCAGATTTTCTGCAGAGGGAAATATAAGTCATTCTAATAAAAAACAAAATTCTAAAATTATTTTCATGTTTTCAAGTATAGCTGACTTGAAGAAAACAAAATAGATGCCTCACATGCTAGTACTAGACATTTACTCTAGTGCTAGTGGATATGTGTCATAGATGTCCTTTGATGTGGGTGACAAGGAAATTAGAGAGGGTAGCAAAAGTACTTTGGCTACTGAGGCTCTAGCTACTGGATTTGCGCTCAACAAATAAATGTGACAAAGAACTGATCGAGGATAGATTTGGTTGTAGTGAAACAAATTGTCTAAGAAAATAAAGCATGCATGAAATGGGTTAACTTGAGCACCCAGGTATTTGTTAATATTTCCTCTTCTTAACTTTCTTAACCATTTTAGAGGAAGTAAAACAGAAAGAAATGTAAATGTCATAGTTTTATTAGTTTTTAGAGAAATTAGGGAAGTGGTAATTTGTGTTCATTTTCCTTGAGGGAAAGCTGTTTGAATTGTAAAATGTGTTTTTATTTATTTTAGGAGAAAGGGGAATATTGTCATATCCAGTGCAGTGTTTCTGTTGTGCAAGGCAACAGAAACTCATAACTTTGCTTACACCAAAGGTTGTGGGTCTAGTTTATGTTCATGTTCTGATGGCAGTCAGCCATGAAAATGTAGCTCCAATATGTCCGCTAGTTTGCAAGGGCAACATGTTCATCAATTCTGAACAGATGCAAATGTTGCATACTCATGTTTCTTACCACTTTCACATCTTCCTGTATTTTTGTGTAACAGTTCTCTTCTTTAATCCCCCTTGTCCTGTAACATTTACACAGCAAAGAAACCTAGAAATAATTTGAAAACATTATGCATGTTTATTTAAAAAGATATTTTTGTGTTTCGATTTGTATAAGATCTACTACTCATTCTATGACAGTATGCATATGTTTTTTCTTCTTTTTTTCTAGATCTGAAGCTGATGTCTTTCAACAATATTTGAAGAGAGAAATATGTAACATGAGAATATACTTCCACTATCACATCCCATCCCTCTCCCCCAACAAAAAAGTTTAAAGATGAAAAAAAAAAAGGTTTCTCAAACTTTCTATTTTTTTCTTTTATGTAAAGTGAGTAAGTGTTTTCAATGAAATTCATATCCAAAAGAGGTAAAGTAGCGCAGGACATGTTCCAGTGGAATTTATGGTTATGTCATTTAGTATTTAAAAATCATAAGCACATATGTCACGTCAATAGAGATAAATTAATAAGTAAATGTATCAACCAAAGGTCAGTTACATCCTCAATATTTTTAACTCCAAGTCTCCTTCCTGCTAATTGATAATCTGCTATCAGATAACATCAGAGTTTCATACACTCCGTTTAGGGCCCGGTTGTTTTGAGTGCATAATGTTATCAGTGTGTTTGCCTTGGCTCTTTTTTTTTGTTGATAATATTGCATATCATCCTTGAAAGCAGCAATGAAACCTGAGCTGACGGTTCACAGATATTGTATATTTTTATTTTGTTAATAATAATATGAGACGAGATTGAAATGCTTTTCTTGCAAAGTAATACAGGAAATGGCATTGATTGGGGTATTAAGAGAGTTTAAAGGATTTGCAAAAGTGTATCTAGGATTATAGGGCTGTATACATGAAAAATGTCCAGAAATTCAGTTTAGGGAAATTTGAAATCGTTACTTTTTCATGTTTCAAAAGCTTCCCCATGATCTGTGAATTCTATCCTGAGTATAAGGGATTATTTGACATCAAGAGATTAATCCCTCTAAGATCACTTTTTTAGGGTTAGCTTTGAAAGATGTGAAATGTGGAGTATATTTTTTTCATTTTTTTTTTTTTTTCTCTCCATCAGGTTTTGTGTCAATTTGAAAATGGAAGTAAAAATAAAGAATGATAAGATAAATTCATAATGTTTTTTCACAAGAGTGCTTTATATAAAACTTTCAGCTTTCAGATAGCCAAGCTTCCCAGGGTCCTCCCAAAAGTTTTTATTTATATATGCATACATATATATATATATATATATATATATATATATATATATATATATATATATATTATATATATATATATATATATATATATATTATATATATATATATATTATATATATATATATTATATATATATATATATATTATATATATATATATATTATATATATATATATATATATATATATTATATATATATATATATATTATATATATATATATATTATATATATATATATATATATATTATATATATATATATATATATATATATATATATATATATATATATATATATATATATATATATATATATATATATATATATATATATATATATATATATATATATATATATATATATATATATATATATTATATATATATATATATATTATATATATATATATATATTATATATATATATATATATTATATATATATATATATTATATATATATATATATATATATATTATATATATATATATATATATATATATATATTATATATATATATATATTATATATATATATATATTATATATATATATATATATTATATATTGTAGAAAAGGTATGAATGAGAATGAGTATCTTCACAATACAAGAGATGTATTTGACCGGTTTCGAATTATATCTTCGTCAGAAATACATACAACAAATGAGATACAGAGCATATATATATTATACATGAGCTGACGTGCTACCTGACTGTGACCTCCCGCTCGTTGACCGTATGATTGCTGCCGCGACCTTGGATAATTTGAACCTGCCCGAAGCTGCGTTGATGTTATTTTCCGTCGCGATGTAGGCAGCTTCCATGATTTTTCTTTGCTGCCTATTCAGTCCTTCATGGACTACCTTTGCATCTTTCCAATTCGGTAGATGTCCAGCCTCATCTACATGGACCACCATGGCGTTGGAAGTCCTATGGTGACGGATGTCAGCTCGGTGTTCGTTGATCCTGGTGCTGAAGCCACGGCCTGTTTCTCCAAAGTATGCTGTGTCGCATCTGCTGCAGGGTATGCGATACACAGCACTGTTGGTGTTGTTTACAGGCTGCTTTTTCTCCCGTATCATGTCATGTATCTTATTCCCGGCTGTGTTGGCAATTTTCACTGTGTTGCCGAAGTATCTGCTGATCGCCTGGGAAACGTTGCATGACGGTAACGTGAGAAACTCCTTAGAAGAAGGTGCAGGATTGGATCTTGCGAGTATATTCTCCGCCTTCCTTCTGAGGTTCAGTAGGAAGCCTTTAGGGTATTTATGCTTCAAGAAGGAATCAATTATATAAGCAACCTCAACCTCGAGGAATTCAGGGCTGCAGATCCTTAGTGCCCTGAGGAAGAAGCCGATTACAACACCAGATTTTGTTTTGTTACTGTGGGCGGAGTAATAGTGGATATAATCGTCTTTATTAGTTGGCTTTCTATATACAGAGAAACGTAGGCCGTCGTCTCCCCGATGGATCAGAGTGTCCAAGAAAGGTAACTTCTGATCCTCTTCCTCCTCCACGGTGAACTGGATTTTCTCGTGGACGGAGTTAAGTCGTGTC